CAGGACTGGCCAGGACGTATAGAGGTTTTTTAAGAAACATCCACAATAGCAGAGGAACCAAGCAGCTAAGACTACAAAGATGCTGGCCTCTATCAGCGGCTCTCACCTCCTTAGACTCAAGTCCGCCCACAACAGACCCATGGCATCCCATGGGAAATGCCAGCTCTTTCTTCTCGTTTGCTTTTTGACCACAGGAAAAAAAAATACTAGAGCAATTCTTCTGCGCAAAGAACTGGGGAAGATCACATCAGGTCAGAACGTTTTTAACACTATGGTTTTCTATTTGAAACCTCTGGGTTTTTTGTCATGGGAATCATGCTCCTGCACCTAACAGTGCAAACATGGTATGGCACCCCTCCAGCACCCTTGAAAATCTCATGGCACCCTGGCAGAGAATCACTGGCCTATATGTTCTGCCTGTGCAGTGGGGGAAGCTCACGGCACAACATCCACTCCAGCCGTAGACATTATGCGTTATTCTTTATGCCCCTCCATAACCTGTGTACACATCCCTTTGTGCTGCAGGCTCCGTCCATCCCCAACAAAAGGTGGCATGCTTTGAAAAAGTCCAAACTCGGTGTAGGCTGAGGGGCAACATGGAGGAGATGCTTCCACCTTTTTCCTTTAGATCTGGACTAGGCAGTGTAAAAGCTTTATGCAATCTTCACTAGTTGAACCATGCTGCAATGGCTGGTGAATGTCCTGATGAATCACACAGGGTACAGAAGATGATAATTAACAGGGATATTATGTGCCTTTCCCAAATCCAGTACCATAGCCTGCTACACAGATCTGGGTGAATCAGATTTCCACCATAAGTAGATATTGTGAATATCAGCCCAGCTCTAAATACAAAGTTACACTGGGAACAGTTAGTTCTCTGTAATCTCCAATGCTTAGGGTCTTTTCACAACAAAAAAATTATATATCACCAGAAACAGAACATGCTCATTGAGTGGCAACAACTTTAAATGCCCACCAACATTTAGGACTGAAATAAGCACATGAATGCAAACAGTCATAACAATGCAAAAAATACCATTTTTGATTTACCAAATGTTAAACCCCAATGTTTAACTTTGCCAATAGAGTCTCCTTGATTTGCATTCACTTACTTCGGTTTTACTCTTGATGCAACTCTGTAGACAGCACAGGAAGATACAACAGTAAACACATCCAGTCTCCTGTTACTGCAGGTACACGCATCAAGAGCTCCTTTTTACAAGCTGATGAAGCTCCATCTTAAAAGTTGTTCACAGCTGTTTTGCCCCCAATACTCCTATATGAAGGCTGTTCCAGAACCTAAATGCTTCTATGACTATACACCGGTTTTGATGTCCAGTCTATAGACATTTCTACCTTTACCAACATTGCTCTTTCGCTTCAATAGCTCTTCTCCCTCCCTGGTGTTTGGCCCCCTAGCTATCTACAAGAAGTCTTCATCTCATTTCCAACCTTTGTTTTGTTAGGATAAACAAGCCAGGTCTCTTCATGGAAGAAAGGCCTCGATTCCCCAAACTGTTTTATTGCTCTCTTCTGTATCTGCTCCAACCTGAGTTTATCTACATGCACAATATTCCAACCAATGTTTCACCGAGTTCCCTGAGACTTCTGGGATGGAGATTATCTGGTCTCTCCAACCTGACTCCATTACAAGCCCTTCGAGTTTTGTTTCAAAATCAGACACGGCAATCTCCATTTCTATACACTCATGACTATTAGCCATCTTGCTGCTACCACGCAGGGGCATCCTCCTCCTAATTGATAACTGGGGTAAACTTCCATTGACATTCTTGAGCTCTTCGGTCCAGTTGACTCCACTAACAAAAGCGTCTGGTCTTTCTGAAATCAAAAGCCAGGCGCTAGTTTTGTTTATCGTTCCGTTCAATTTAAACTTGAATCAACTGTGTCACTCCAAAACCCAAGTCTGTTTTTCCATGGTGCCCTTACTTGTGACCAAAACCAAAGCTAAAACGGCATCACCTCTTGCCGCTTCAATGACTATGTGATGAAGAAATATGTCAGTTTTTACTTCCAGGAATACCTAGGCCCTACCATTATTAGCAACATTTATTTTTCAAGTTAGGGATTTCATAGATTTCATAGACACTAGGGCTGGAAGGGACCTCAAAGATAATCAAGTCCAGCCCCCTGCCCCAGTATGAAGTTGAAGTCTTCCATAATGACCCAATTCCTTGGCTGTTTTTCTCATCTGTTAATACTACAGGTATCTTCCTCCACAGGGGGAATCTCACTGAGATTCATTCCAGCACAAAGGGGCTGGCTGGTTTTTTTTAAAGTCTAAGGACATGGCTCCGTGGTATCATGGTTTCACTGACAGCGACGGAAATCATAAAAATATGTACACTGTTGTCACATTAAACATAAAGACAGCTGTCACCATCAAGGAGGGAAAAAGCTATAAAGCGTGCTGCAAGAACAATTAAAGATGATAAACGTGTACTTGCAATCTTTTGATGGCAAGACCCAGTGATGCAGCTTGATAAGAGGAGGCGCCACAGAGACCGTATCTGTAAGCAACAGGCCATCAAACAGGCAGATAAGCATCTTCATAAAGTGCAGCAGACTCAAATGCATGGGTCATAACTGAGGAATCACTTCCTGGTTCAGGTTAGGTAATAAAAATTTATGACCTACTTAAAAAAAAAAAAATCCCTCAAACCAAAAAAGGTATTTTCCAATAAACTTGTTTTCAGAAAGAATGTAAGCCATTTAGGACGTGCCTCAGTAATAGCAGGAAATGAGAATATTTACAGTACCAGGTTTAAGACAAATTGTAATGCAGCACAAGGAAGATTTTTAAAATAAAAACCTTAAATTCAAAACTGACCGTAATGTAATTTTCTGCTCATCCATTAAACATTTTTAAAAAAACAACCCCAAAACCAAAAAAACCAACAACCCTTAAAAGGTGGCAGGAAGAGAAACCTTGAGAAACAGGGCAGGCATTTTGTTGTTTGTCCTTAAATCTTTGGGAGAGTTCACATCACTAAACCATCAAATGTAAATCTTGCAAATCTCCCCTTAATAAAGAGTTATAGTCCCTGACTGGGAAGGGACCAGGGATCAGCCAATATGAAGGCTGCAAACAGAGGTTAAAGTCCCTGAATCCAAAATCAATTCAAATCCAAATAATTTGGCAGTGGACTTAAATAAAATATGGCGATCAGCATGTCTCATAAAATCCATGCATTATTTAAGAAACTTATGAGGTGCTACAGCAAAACTGAGCCAGTGCTATGCAGTAAATATATTTTTAGTGTCATAGTAATGTATATAATTGACTTCAACAATTTAAATACAGACCCACATGTTAAATGCATTACCGATAAAGCTTCATCACATCCACATGATCCACTTTACACTAAAGGCCCATCCACACAAAAGCACAGGGTTATTTAACAGAGAAGGAACCGTGTTCTCACGTTTGTAGTGGGAACTGAAAAACATGGCCATAAAATGACATTTGGGAACCATATTACCATTGGGGAAATATGCAAGTGATAGTCCCTTTACTGTATTGCTCCCCCCATCTTCAAAAACAAAACACACCAAACATTTTGAGAGGCTGACTGCCATGGATGGATTATTTAAACGTTAATAATTTGGTTTTAAATGTTCAGCCATCCCAATAGAGGCTACCACTAAATCCAAGTGTGTAATGTGTATTTTTAACAAGGTAAGTGAACTCCAAACAAAGGGAGCTCAACTAATTAATATTTTAGTACAACCAAAATGTATTTGATAATTTATGGGTGATATTGAGAAAAAAATGTAAATGTTTCCTCTGACTGAACGGCTCTAAACATTTTTCTCATTTCAAGCAGGGCTAATTTCCCAAGTTTTAAACCTCTTAAAATAGAAATGTATAATATAAATCGATGACAGAACCTCTAATATCAAATGTGAATATGCTTATAATTACACTGAATAACAGACACCGATCCAGGGAAAACCTTAAGACACCAAAAGAAATATATCAATGCATTTGGCTAACATGGTGGTATCCTGGACTCCGCATTGATATCAATGGAAAACACAGCCCCGAACAGGAGCTTTTATTTTAACTCTCTTTAAAACAACCTTCACAAATCAGTTTCTGTATGTGTTACAGTTTCCTTTTACAGTTTAAACCTCAATCCAATCAGCAGTCTCTAGGGATTTTCAAATCGCTAAAGATTAAAATCCTCTCTGACTCAACTGTTTGACTAATGCTCTGTGTTTAATAATTCTACTTGTGAGAGATTTTATTTGACAAAATCCTGCTGTGGGGAACCGTCAGATGCTATACAGCTGTGCGAGACTATAAAACCCCGCTGCCCTCGTTCCTTTACACCTCCTACACCAGAGCAGAAAAAGAAAAAGAGAAGAAAACTTTGTGGCACGTATATCTGCTACTTTGCTGATACAGACATAGCCACCGTGTTCTTCAATTTACTCTCCGTCTCCGAAGGCATCAGCAAAAAGGTTTCCTGCTCAAGAAGCATTGGTTAGGTTATCCGGGAGCCGTGTTCGCTGACAGACGCTGCTAATACGTACGTGGATCTGATTTGGTGGAAGGGCGTTTATATCTGTGATGGGCAGAGATCAATGGTGCAATGATTTTCTTAACGTTGCTCTTTCACTAATAAGAGCATTCCAGTGTTAGCCCTTGCACATCTTCTGCTTCTTTAGCTCGGGCCTTTTGATATCCTAACGGGTCAAGCAAATTGAACGCACACATTTCATTTACATTTTGTGTCAGTGCGGTTACTTCACATTCGAATGATCAAAGGCAAAAGAAGTCATCGGCGCGGTACCCTTCAATATGCGTTGGCTAATTTTTAGATAGCGCTCAACCTACACTGCAGCTGCAGATCTGGACGGTCCTTTTGCAATACGGCACTGGTTAGGCGGAAAACGTTACTAAGCAAAGGCAAAGTTTGGCAACGCCATGAACATCAATGACAACATGAAGTCAACACATGCGCGCTCTCTACCTGAGGTAGCATCGATCACCGTTGAGACTCCTCTCCGATCGGACATTGGACGTGATGACCCCGGCATGCTAACAGGTTCAGAGCGAACTGGCTGAATCCTAAAATGCAAATCACATATTTAACCTGGATGCAAAAATCGCTGCTCTTTAAACCACAGACTGGGGACCTTGCAAGGAAGGGGCCTTGCAGATCATCAGATCCAGCCCCTCCGCTCTAGACAGGAAGGCAACTAGGGTTAGGTGACCCCAGGGAAGTGACCGTTCAGTCTCCTCTTGAAAATCTCCAGGGTAGGTGACTGCACCACCTCTGAAGAGAATTTATTCCGCAGTCTGGACACCCTAACTGTGAAAGGGTTTTTCCTGGTATTAAGCCTGAACCAAAAAAACCCTGGCCAATTAAAAGACTGTTTATTCTAAAAATCAACCAAGTGTTGAAAATTTTTATTTTCCCTTGTTGTGTGGATCCAAGTTATGGTTAAATACAACATGGATGGATGGAGAATGCATAAAAACCGCGGGTCTCCACATTCTCTCTCAGGACTTGAACTCTTAGGCAGCTGCAAAGGAGAAAAGGGGAAAAAAAACTCCAAACCCCAGATGCAGAAATTCCCTTGCCCACCAGTGCAGGATGATTCTCCTTGGCTGGCAAACTTATTTTGCTTTGTGGGAGGGTAAAGGTTGTGTTTTAACTACCTACTCTCGTGGCAACTCAGATCTTTCTTTATTTGATCAATGAAAATGCCACCTCAAACATGGTTTTAACATCCACTCTTTCCCTTTCCGCACATATATGTTGTTCTTGAAAACATCTGGATGAGATCCCAAACCCCTGGAAAGACCTGATACCTAGTGTGCACCTTAAGAGGCCAATCCTGAACCAATGGGAGTGATTTCACCAAAGTCAATGGGACAACTGCCCTATTTGAAGACACTTCGGACGTTTTCACTGCTGCTCTGGGGGGGGCACTTTAATCAGAGTGGCTCCGAGAGCCGCTCTAATTAAAGCACCTGGAGTGTCTCATGTATCAGCATCCTGGCGCTTCAAAATGGTGGTGGGGCACTTTATCTAAAGCTCGTCAAATAAGCTTTAGTTAAAGCGACCCTGCTGCCGTTTTGAAGTGCGGGGATTAACCAAGTCTGCTCAGATGCGCTGTAATTACAGTGCATCGGAGCAGCCTCCTGGCTCATGCACAAGCACCCTTTAAGATCAGATCCTCCATGGAGCCTACCCAGTTCTCCATATTTTACATTCCCATTTTTATATTACTGGGAGTTAAGAAAAGAGCCCACATCCCACAAAACTCTGGATTTAAGAACTATGTGCAGCCTCTGAAACCTGTAGACTTACTGAAGCTTGTTAATGCTTCATTGCAACCATACGGGATGCAGAGACTTCTGACACGCATAGGAATTAAAACTCACTGCTTAAGAGGGAGGCACTGGATAACCTATTGAGACGCGTTATCCAATGTGCTGCATGCAGAGGGTACTTCCCTCACCATGCATGGTTGCCAACAAAAATGATGCGGGAGGCAAAAGGTTATCCAGTGCATCCCTGGGTTCAAATCTATGATCAGAATTGTTCACATTACTCTTAAGCAAAGGAAAGAAGGGGTGGGCGGGAGGAGGGACATTCCAGTGGTTCATTTCATGTTCTAACAAACTGACCTCTTTATGGTCAGCAGGTTATAAATCTACACCCTAATGCTCCCAGTCATTTTCTAACAGATAAACTTGCTAAGCAAAGCAGAAACTGTGAAAGCTAAAGCAGCCTTGAACTTTTTAAGACACCGAAGAACAGGAACACTGGACTTTGCACCACCTTCTACTGTTACTCACGCAAGAGGCGACAACAGAAAGGAATCCAAGCAACCTCTAAAGTCATTTGGGGAGAAATTTTTCTCCACACTTTGCCCTGGACAATTTGTTGTTTTTTTGTTTGTTTGTTGTTTTTTTTTACTGATAACGAGTCAAGTGATCTTCTGAGAATCTGATCTTGACCAGGTTGCAGAGAATCGTTACATATGCAAGGCAGAAGATACTTATGTAAGTAACAGGTTACTGCAAGTGTAAATAATCGAGAAACATCCTTAGAAAATTCACTTTATTTGCACCTGAGACTGTTGAGATCAAGATCATCTGTATCGAAGTCCAGAAGAGGCTGTGGTGTGTCACTTGGCCCATGCGACTGCAGCACAGAAGAACTGGAGGAAATTACTGTTGTTTGGCCTGATGGATGAATTGTTTTGAACTGGAACTGGGGACCCATCCACAGGCGTCGGTGAGGTCCGGTGTGAGTCACTATCTCAACCTAGGAAAGTGGTATGAAGTGTTAAAATAACCTGAACTGAGTAATACATTGAGCAATTCTCTCGATCTCATGAACTCTTTACAATCCCACCGGAAATAAACAGTAGGGGAAGATATTTTGCCCCATCCCTTTAGAAGAGACAGGAACAAAGCAAAATAGGGAGCAGCTTTTATAGTGAGTCCCATTCTGCCATTCTCATGGTCTCAGTGAACGCTCTGCATGGCTCCAGATCTGGCCAATGATACCGAATTAAATGCGTAGAACCTAAACGGGATTATTCAAGGTTAAACAGCTTTCTAAATGTGAGGGACAACTTAACCCTGCCAAATAATCTACAGTGAATCCCGTTCTCCAATATTGCCTCCTAGGGAGGATGTCCAAACATTGATGTTGGGATGCACATATATACAGGCAGGTGCAGAAACACTTGCTTTACACATCTCTGAGCTACCCTGGGCATTCATGGACAGAATTTGGAAATAATAAGATTTTGAAAACAGAGCTCCACAAGTAAAATGTGTATCACAGAAATTTCACTGATAGTCTGATTTTAAAAACATTTTCAGGATACAAAAATCTTTAAAACCTTCTGAATCACTGTGAAGCCTCTGGACTTCCACTATGGCGATCATGCCAAATAATTCAATTTGTATCTTGCTTTTATCAGTATGCAATGACTACTAGTGTCACAAAACTAAAAATTGAGCATTCCCCACCACCGATTAGAAGAACAGACTTCACTCTTTGTCTATACAAATCAAGTGGAGGGAAAAAAAAATCTAGCCCCATACATTTTCATGAATGACTTTAATCCTGACCAGGTCAGAGGGCCTTCTCTTCAAAAGGAAGCTGTTACTATTTTGTTTAGTTCAGCTTTCTAAAAGTTCACACATTACACCAGCACTTCTTCACATGGATAATGTGTGAATTGTATTTCATAACAAGGGTCATAATTACAGCTGGCATTTCAGAGGCTGCTGCTGGCAAAGACCATCTTGCTGGAAAGCAGCATCATTTGCAGGCAGCAATGGGAATACAAACGTAAGAGAGCAAAGAACTAGAGCCACTTAACTACATAAATATATATTTAAAAATGTAGCTAAATGCTTAACGTATATGATTTAGTTAAAAGTCTGACACTTTAAACAAAGCACAAGTTTCTATTTTCAATGCGCTTGTGAGGCCCTGTAATTCCAAACAAGAGAGGCTCAAGAGTACAGAAAATGTGTGCAAAGCACGCAATTTCACTTTCAAGTTTTTAAAAACTCTTTCCCTTACTGCAAGATACTTGCTTTGCTTTCAATGGGCATTTAAATATCTTACAAATAAGCTGAAAAATAAGTCACTTTCAGTAAGCGAAGCATACACAATATTTTTTTGAAAATTTCAAAATGACGGGTTTCATACTGAAAACCGGAGGAAAACATTTTTTTCAAACATTCAAAGTCACCACTAAGAATGCAAACAAGCGTGATCAGTTCAAATCGTACTCGTTTCAAATGGTACAGAACCTGAAAACAAGGCCGCCGAATGAAACGGCCAACTCAGCCATAAAAACAAAATAATGCATCAACACTTTAAAAATCAGAAATTCAGCTTGTGAGCTGGTATTTTCAAAGTTTAAAAATTAATCAGGCTATTAAATGTATATGAGTTACTATCAAAACAATGAACAAGCTTACAGATGGATAGCAGTTTACCAAGGATGCTCACATGGATGCCTTTAGGCATGTTTCATATAGCATTTTTTTTCAGCATCTTAGGGATTTTTTTTTTTAATTAACATAATTTTTTTTTGTATTTTTGACTACAGATTCTTCCAAGATGTCCTGTGAAGGGTTCTGAAAATATTATTCTAAGGCAGCTGCTATCTGTAAATCCAGGAGGACAAATGCATAGTCCGGTTAGTACAATTTTCATATTTCTGTTTATTTTGTGGTAACTCCAATTGACTGTAGTGGTTTCTGATTTGAGTAGCTTTTATGCAGCAATGCAAATTAGGCCACAGATAAAGCATTCTGTATATTTTAAGCTTGAAACCATCAGTGTCACAGAGCCGAGAGGTAAACAGATGCCTTTGCAATTTCACCGAGGCTATGTCCAGATGTTCCTATTCACTCTCCTGTTGTGTGCAGGACAAACATATTGTATCTACTTCACACTGACAGCACACATTACCCACTGTTCTAATTGAAAAGTTGAAGTGAAGGGCAGTGTTTTTTCACTGCATGCTGTTACTGTTGATAACAACACTTTAATTTTGAAAAACATACATGCACTTTGGGCTTAATCTGAAGTGGCTTGCTTAGAGAACGCCAGCATCTTCATGTTCAAAAGAGATATCATCACTCTTTTCACTTAGCAAATATTAAGCATTCCTAGTGCATTTCCTGCTTTCCCTTTTTGTGTCCTAAGAAAACTCATCTGGGATTTTTTTTTTTTATATAAATATATTTGCTACTCTAATGCAGAAAAGTTATGACAGCGCCTGAGTGCCACTAAGCTTCTACAACTACTTTGTGTAAACTCCGCAGTAGAAGTCAGCTAGCCTGTATGCCAATGCTTCACTTTATTTTTGTCTTCTTTTGGTGAGAGACCTGCTTTCCTTTACAGAGTCATCAGACAAATAAAATTAGCTCAATTATTAACTATCCAAATGATATTGGGATACAAAATGGGCAATGTAACTGTAATATTTTGAAAATTATTAGACGCTGGGGATGAAAGCGAGGCCCTCTTGAACTCAGCAGGCATGTCCCGATGAGCGTGGATGTTTGGTTCCCCGGGGACAAGTAGCGGCGGCACACCTTGTGCCACCGCTACTTGTCCCTGGGGAACGCTGGCACTTGGCACACGGCAAGTTACCCCAGGTGCCTGTGTGTGCACTGCTTCACTCCCCCCACCCCAGTTTTTTTTTGACTCCTGGATATCCAGGGGTCAAAACAGTCATATCCAAAATCGTACTGTATTTAAAATGTGAAATCTGGGCATCAGCTTTGCATGGACCATGCACCTATTCAGTAATATATCCAAACAAAAGAAAGTTCACATAGTCTGTCAGGATGCGGAACAATTGAGTTGATAAATTCATTTACTTTTCATTGTTGTTCGGTTATTTTTGACTCTTACTACATTTCAAAAGCCAATCTTAAAAATGCATAGAAATGGAACTTTATTTGATTATTCATGACACAAGTCTGCAAGTCAACGTTTTGGCTAAGCCGAATTGAATCCTGTTACACTTCTTCAGATCTTACCCAGGGAGCATTCCCACTGTACGCAATAGTAATTAACCCTGACTTAAAATCTGACTTCATAAACAAGAGATTTCATTTAGATTGAGATCATCATGCAGCACTATAGTAGTGGGATTCAACAAAAACTGGATGAATCTAGCACTGGGGGAAGGTAGCTGCTCACAAATAAAAGATGTGTTGTAAGCAAGCTACTCCCTTAGCCTGAAGTTAGGAAATAATGGAGTGTAGCATGGGTTACAAATAAGCAGGCTTCCCCACTCTGCCAAGACAATTCTCTTAACCCTGAATAAAAGGGACCACATCTACAGGGGTGGAGAGGGCAGCTTATTTTTCATGGCCAAATTAGTACTCCTATTCTATGCTGAGGTTGCCAAGGTTGTAATTAGTGCCAGCACACATTGGGGCTTTGTTTATGCTTGTTTAAAACGTCGATACCTACCACTGGGAATTCACAGAGACTGCCAAACTTATCCCACAGAAGCCAAGATTGAAGCTAAGTTTAGATATAGTCTACTGCTGCATTGTGGCCTTTACCAAGTTTCAGTCTTAATAGATGCTACATGCACTTCTCTCCTGACATCCCCAAAACCCATACCTGGGAAAGCCACTCTTCGTCTTCCTGACCACTGTGGTCAGATGCTAAACTGTCGTATGACTCGTGTCGAGTAATAGGTCCAGGACTCCCAGGTGGAACCACTGTGAAAAGAGACAAAAATTCAGAAATGTCATTTATTCTGCTGGGTGTTTTTGGAAGACGCTTTCTCACACGTGTAATAATGTGGCAACATATGTACGTCCATGGAATTGGGACTCTTTCTGGGGACACAGAGCAAGGTTAGTGAGCATCGGTGCTGTGAAGTCTAAAGCAGCTCCTGTTCTGAAAACTCACCCACCTCCACATTATTTCTAGGCTTGGAAACACTATGATAACACAGCCTAGTATACTTCTTTCTGCCAGAAGCTAGCAGACACACAGAACAACTCCACTGCAATGACTACCCTGCCTAAATTGTCTTGAGGGCTCTAATACTGACAAATGCCACCAATGATACAGGCTTGCTACACAAACTTTTCAAATTGTCCACTTTAAGAGAATTTGAACAGTGTTAAGCTACAGTGACAAAACTTATCCTGAGGCGCTGGCAAACATACCAACCTTGAATACGCAGTGCACTTCCCTGGCTTCAGAACTAATATGATCACCTCATCTTGACATTAATGCACTTAGTTTGAAGCTGGCTGGCAACTGCGTTTTTTTTTAATCCGGGTAACAGTAGATGATTTGTATCGTATCAGCTGCTTTGCACCGTTACCGTGTTTGATCACAATAGCCGCAATGTGTTCATGACAAAGACATTTCATATTTTTCAATATCTATAGCTCATGAGCTGCTCAATGAAGTAATAATAATAAATAATAAGTACCAACAACAATAATAATAATAAAATAATGATAACGATAGGAAAATTGTCTTTGCAAATAGCTAATGCTCTATAGGCATGATGTATGCCCAGCTGTGCAGGTATCTGGAGGATGGAAGCAAACAAAGTTAAAAAAAAACCCTTTTTTAGGAAAGTTCACAGGCAGAACAGACCTGCAAGAATATAATACATACTGAAAATGTGCAATTGTTTACAGACTTCTTATTACCCTGTCAATTTTTAAATTTGAAATCAGATTAAAATATATGGAGGACTGAAAGTATCAGGCATATCGATGCCTTTATTGAGGGTCTTGCATTTCTAAAATCAAGTAACACAACACTATCACAGAAAGCAAAAGCCCACTGATGTGATGCTTTGCTTCTATCCACTTCCTATTTCTCCGTACGTATTCCTTAGGCATTCATATCCTTGGCATTTAGCACTCCTAAGAAAATTAAGGCACTATCCTGCAAACACTTATACAAACAAATCACTTCACCTGGGCAAGCAGCCCTCCTATAATGTCAGTGAGACAACACCTGAGTAATTATTCATGTGCATGTTTGAGGTAACAATCCCTTATGAACAATTATTTTTTTTTTAAATGGGACTAAGTCTTCTTCTCTGCCCATTGTGTGCCACTTCTTTAAAAGTTCATTGCTAACGGCTCTCCAGGAAAAGCAGTGCCGGAGCACTCTGGCCGCTGTTTTGATGGAAAGTTTTTTCAAGGATAGCTTTTGCATAGTTCTCTGCAAATGGCAAAACCTCTCATTGCATTGCAGGAATGCAACGGAAAGCAGAGCTTGATCTTAAATGGATATATAAGTTATACGCAGGGACTGTTTCACCCACCAGCAAAATACAACAATTTCTGCAGTCAAATGTGCCAAATGATTAACGATTTATAGTAATGCTATATGACACTTTAGGGCAGGCTGTAAAGTATATTGCACTCAGCTGAACTTGCTGCAGGGAAATAGGTAGGCATACTACCTCAGCTGGATTCTGGCCCCAGTGCTGGCATTAATGCCATACATCTCTGAAAAGTGCTACGGGAGCTTACATTACTAGAAAATCTCTCTTCCTGCTAGTCCAGAGGCGGATGCAATGGGAGAAATGTAATAGAGAACATTTTGCTAGTCTATTAATAGTTTCATTTCCATTTCCTATTCTGACAGCATTTACATATGTTGCTACAAAAAGCAACTTCTAGTTTTTGAGCCTGTGCACTGATACCCCAGAATTTTATCTGGATCAAAGTAATCTTCAAACTCTCAACCGTTCCCATTCAATATACAGTCTTAAGGGACATAATTGTTTATATTTTGCTACAAAAAGGAATCGCAGGCTCATCACTGAAAGGATCAAGTTTCATGATTGTTGCTCGTTTCATAGTTTCATAGTTTCTAGGGTCGGAAGGGACCTGAGCAGATCATCTAGTCTGACCCCCTGCCATGGCAGGAAAGAGTACTGGGGTCAAATGACCCCAGTAAGGTGGTCATCCAACCTCCTCTTAAAAACCCCCAGGGTGGGAGCCTGCACCACCTCACTTGGAAGCTGGTTCCAGACCCTAGCCGCCCTGACCGTGAAGTAGCGCCTCCTGATGTCCAACTTAAACCTTCCCTCCGCCAGCTTGTGACCATTGTTCCTGGTCACTCCTTGCGGCGCTCGGGGGAACAGGGACTCCCCCAGCGCCTGCTGATCCCCCCTAACCAGTTTATAACAGGCCACAAGATCCCCCCTCAGCCTTCTCTTTTGAAGGCTGAACAGGTTCAGGTCCCGCAACCTTTCCTCATAGGACCTACCCTGCTGTCCCTTGATCATACGAGTGGCCCTCCTCTGGACCCTCTCCATGCTGTCCACATCCCTCTTAAAGTGCGGCGCCCAGAACTGGACGCAGTACTCCAGCTGCGGCCTGACCAGTGCCGCATAGGCATCGTTGGGGCATTAAAAAGGTATCGCTAAAGATTATGGTCCAATCAGTACACTTTCCATGGCAGCAAGTGCAACTTCACATTAGAGAAAAAACCAAAAACTTAAAAGGAGGGGGAAAAAAGCAAGTGATTAGCACGATAAGACACGTGACCTTTTTTTCCACTCCTGTCCCTGTTGGTTTTCCTTGTGGCTTGAAACAGAGGGCTGGACTGGATACCTGAGGAACTGTACCCATCAAGGGGAAGCAGAGGGCACCAAAAAGGCAAAGTAAGGGGACAATGTAATTAAAACCATTTTTGGTTTAGTAAGACAAATGAGCTTTGCACTCTGATGATGTCGCAACCCACTGGACACCCTTAGATGAAGCTATAATGGATACTTTTATATCTGCATAACCTAAAATAATTGGTTTAAAAATACTGCTTGAGGGCTGACCTTTATGTGCCAGGTTTCCACCCACTGCAAATTTTTTAAAGCCATGTTGTAAACCCCTAATCATGCAGGTTTATAATGGCAAAGCAGACACAATTGCAACCATAACTAGAGAATGGCGCCTCTGTAACACATAAACAGCACAGGGTTTTCACAAATCCATACACTATATGAAATAAAAGGATTTTAGTATTGGTTTAAATGCATATCTTAGCCCAGCCCCAATTATGGAGCCACTTTTGACACCTCCCTAATGCAACACATCTTCATTCTTAAAGTTGTGACTCCCCCAAATTATTTCTGGGCCTATTTTGTTTTAATTATATACAGCACTGTACACATTAGGGCCCAGATCTTGCAATGTGCCAACTTTCTCACTGAGGTCCTATGCAATTGCCACATTTGTTGAACTTGATACAACGTTTGTTACATGCACACTTAAGGACATCGTCTAAGCAGCATGTGTTCTCAAGATATTTTGCCGACACAGTGTCACATCATTACAACAGTGGCAAGATTTAATGACTTAAAGCTGATTCGATCTATTCTGGAGCATGAGCATGAATAAAATGTTGTGCTGTTGTAGCTTGCAAAGAGCTAGGTGAGTCACCACAAGTATCTGAAGGCTAGCCAGAGTCATTCCTTACTTCTTGCAGAGCTTATTTATGAAACCAATGAAGGAAAAACATATTTTGACACATTTTGCCATTGCCCTAATCTTCTCCATGGCTCCTAAACTCCCAGCAATAAATTCTATTGACTGGAGTCGTGCCTGTTTTTGAAGGCACAGCTGATCAACTGCAGGCTTTTCTGTTATTGAACGCGGCGAACAAACTGCTCACGACTCCAGCAGATGTTTCTGCTTTCAAGCCAATGGGAACTTTATGGACTGCTCTTTTCTCGTCCCTCCCAGGGGCAAGTATGAGAACTGTCAAGAGCAGGGAAGTTGCTATGCGGTGACTAACAGCAAAAATGCTGATCCAGCCAGCAGCATCTACGCTGCTATGTCATCAGATTAGCTCACTCCAAGGATTCCTGGGGAAAAACTGAACGCACGTATTATTTGGGAATGAAGGGACCTTTATTCTGAAAATGAAAAGGAGCGGTCAAACACAAGGGCAGGCGGGTTTCGTTCCTTTTCCTGGGAAGCCACAGCTTTCCATGGGACATGGAAAAAAGCTCATGTTAGCGCTGCCTCAGAACGTAGCACTGCTTCCCTTTGCCAAAAATAAAGAAATAAAAATTAAGAGGAAACCTACTGAATTCCATCAAACTGCTCTGGTTTAGAGTTCACTAGTGGGGCAGGCGTGATAAAACCTTGGCTGAGGTCAAACTTCAATACTTTCTTTTATTCTTTAATAGAACAGCATGTACATGCCACACATAACATACAAGTGAGCATTTTTAAAATCTGGTTTTGATAGCAAAAGAGCCTAACCGAGGTCCCAGTCCCACCAGGTACAGCGTGCCTTCAACTCCCATTGCCCTTCGCTGCAAGCGGAGATGCACAGCGCCTTGTGAGAACTGGCCCGGTCAGAAGTGAGCCCCTTGCTGGAGATTTGCCTATTGGCATATTTGTTCATTATAGACGAATACAGACCTGGTCCGTAGAGCTGCAAGGCTTTGTCTCTATCTGTGCCCCTCCTGGAGCCGAGAGGAGCCGTGCGGGGCCCAGGCAACTGGAAGCTGTGCCCATATTGCTGCAGGTTCTCCCTACTCGCAACACGGGTGAGGCTTCCAGCCGGTGGGGAAGTGAGCCAGGGCTGGCTGTGCCCCTGCTGAAGCTGGGAGCCAGGGCTGGAGGGGAGGAGTGGAAGTGGCGAGGACGCAGTTTCCAGCTGCCTGGCCCCAGCTCAGATGCTACCAGCTGGAAGCTGTGCCCACGCTACAACTGGGATGAAGCAA